TTTTTTGAATCAAGTAGTTGCAAATAGGGCGGGAAAATATTACAGCCTACTTCCTTAACACATTTTCTTAATATTTCATATTGATATTTTGTTAAAGATGCGTCAAAAATTAAACCCAAGGCTTTTTTAGAATCAATATACCTCATAGTATCAGCTTGTTTTTCTTTTTTTATTTGTTCTGCTGCTGCGATTATCAATTCATCCGAAAAATCCTCTCGAAGTTTTTTTATTTTATTTTGCTTACTTCTTTTACACAAATCTTCAAAAGGTTTCTCTGGGCGACCTCCGACAGACTTAAGGGATGACTCGTTTTCGGATTCATGATCAGATTCAGGAAAATTAACCAAAAACTCGCCCTGCAACCACTCACTATACTTCCGAAAAAAAAATCGTTTCACATGATGCACTTCTCTCAATTTTTTGGCAAAATTGGATTGAAATCTTTTTTTTTATGGCTCCAGTTACCAGCAACAACCGCTCTCCTTGTAATTCTGGATACTGTTCCCTTAAACCTTGCTCTAAAGGGTACTCGCGGTTAAAGAGTAACTCGCACACAACACTGTATGGTATCACAAATTGCGACATGTTTATTATCCAGCTAATAAGACAAATCCAACAACAATACTGATAAAGTTTCATATCAAAATTTATCTAAAATCGGTTTTCGGCATCCGCAAAAATGAAGAAAGTAGTTTTAATTTTTTTTCACACTGTTTATCTTTTATTTTAAATTTTTAACAAACTTGGCCGAATCAGGCGATAAAATTTATAGAATCACTACTTTAACAGTTGCTTTTTTTAGTCAAATTAATCCGAGACCAAAGCTAGGTAAAGCTTTTTTTTTCTAGTCTCATTAAAGTAAGAAGTAAAGTAATTTTATTAGAAATAGATTCAAACTAAACTGCACCAAAGGCACGGTATATTTTGGCAAAATGATTTTTACTTTTAATGCCCATGGATAAACCAAACAGTTCCTGGGTAATACCGATTTTTAGGAATTAAAAGAAGGGCTGTAAAATATTACTTGTTTTCGCTTTATTTTTGCGCGTTTCGTATATTAAGAAAATTGTCAAAAAGGAGGTGCTGTAAATTCAAAACTAGTAATTAAATTAAAAAAGTAATATTATTATATTGTCTTTGAACTAACTCGATGTAAGATGGGATAATTTAAACCCGATTTAACACTCTCTTTTTTTGGGTTTTTTTTCCATTGCCGAAACCACTGTGCGTCGTATTGTCGGTAAGCAAAATCCCTGTCCAAAAATCTTGACGATCAGCGTCATCACCCGTCATAATTGGGAAACTTTTGCTGGATATTTTTGCCATTTTGAATATTTCACTTACATGGCCCTGTGCTAGATATTCGCATCTCATATGTTATGTATGTAACACGTTGGATTCTGACCTTCACTAAAGCTTCGTTTGTAAGAACTAGAGATGAGCAAAACATCGCAAACTACGATTCAATCGCAGCGATTTTAAAATTACAATCGCAACCTGCGATTGGCTGTCATAGGAAACTGGGATTACGATTTCTTCTATTTGCGAGTTTCAATTTAGGCAACCAATATTACTATAGTTGCGATTTTGCTGCCATTGTGATTTTGTAAACTAGGACCGCGATAACCTTTTATCTGCGAGTTTGAATTTAGGAGTTGCGATTTGCGACATTTTTGCGAATGTAATTTTGTGGTCTATTGAAGCATTTTATAGTAAACTGCGATTGAATTTTCTCTCTGATATTATTTATTTATAGAGAAGGTATTATTATATAGGGCCACGATCATAATTATACCGGGTGTTTCCTAAGAGTAGTTCACTACTACAACTTTTTTATTTTTTTGTGATAAAAAATTGATTTGGATGTTAGTATATGACAATGAATAGCTCTCTTTGATGTCATATGGGAAAGCGGAGAGGTACCTCAGGACTTTTGCAACGCGAATATAGTGAATATATTTAAGAACAAAGGAAGTGCATCAGACTGCGGAAACTACCGAGGAATTTCACTACTGGCTATCGGAGGAAAAATTCTTGCAAAAATTATGTCAAACCGCCTGCACCTACATATAGAAAAAATCCTCCCAGAATCGCAAACGGGTTTTCGCACCAACCGCGGTACCGTCGATTCCATATTCTCCATCCGGCACTTACAGGAAAAAGTAAAAGAGCAGCAGTCTAAACTTTACGTTGCATTCATCGATCTAACAAAAGCCTTCGACTCTGTGAACAGAGATGCACTTTGGGCAATTATGAACAAGTTCGGAGTATCAACCATCGGACCATCAAATTTCTTACAGTGTGTAATCATCATATATCATAATCATCATATATCATGGATCACTGAGCGATCCCTTCCTAACAAACACAGGCGTTAGGCAGGGATGTGTCTTGGCGCCTCTCCTATTCAATATATTCATGGCAGCGCTCTCCATTATAGTGGACAGCAAACTGCAGGAGAGAGGTTTGGGCATTAGATACAGATACGACGGCGGTCTGTTCAACATAAAAAGACTCAGGGCACAAAATTCATCACAGAACTCCAATACGCTGATGACTGTGCTCTAGTTGCTAATACGTTACAGCAATTGCAAGAAATGTTGAACACATATACATGGGCATACGAGGCCTTGGGACTTAAGCTGAATATCGATAAAACTAAAATCATGTGCACTCCCCGGAAGATCACAACAATGCTATAAAAATCGGAGATGAACTGTTGGAATATGTAGCGGAATTCAATTACCTCGGCAGTTTGATTTCGGAAAGGGCCAATATCGACTCTGAAATTCAGCACAGGATTAGCAGCGCCTCAAGAGCATTCTGGAAATTAAAAGACAGGGTTTTCTACAATCATGACTTGAGCACAAAAACGCAACTTGCGGTGTACCAAGCGATAATAATTCCCACCATGTTATATGGAAGCGAAACCTGGGTGCCGTACCGCCGACACATGAACGCATTAAACAAGTTGCAACAGAGACATCTTAGACAACTCTTAAGAATAAAATGGTTCCATCACGTCTCAAACGTATCGATCCTTGAAAAAGCCAACTGCGAGAGTATTGAAGTCATGATTACAAAGTCCCGCTTAAGATGGGCTGGTCACGTATGCAGAATGCAAGAAAACCGCATACCAAAATCTCTGCTTTACGGTGAGTTTGTAGACGGTAAGGGGAGGCCGGGTGGACAACTCAAAAGGTTCAAGGATATTTTCCACGAAAACTTAAAGGGAATTAACAAGCAGAATGAGTGGGAAGAGGCAGCTCACAATAGAACGGAATGGAGAAAAATTGTAAAGTCAGTTAAGAGCGACAACCAAAAAGTAAAGAGGCAACAAAGCGATGAGATTTTTGAATGTCTGGAGTGCGGTAGACAAATAACATCACGTATCGGGCTTTTCAGTCACAGAAAATCCATGAAAGAAAACGCCTTGCGTGACCATCTTCTGATGCGTGTCAAATACTCTTCAGCGAGTAATGGCGGTATATGGTATGTAAATTAGGATTGTCTGACGTATTCAATTGTTTTTGATCACTTCCTCTTTCACTGGAAATGACTAAAACTTTTGATTTTTAAATGGCTCACCTATCGAATAAAGTAAAAAGATACCTTTTTTACTTTATTCGATAGAAAATGACATTCTGAATGGAATGGCATATCATATGACAACTTTGGACATTTTCGCTTAAAAAACCGTATTTTAAACTTCAATCAAGATTGTCAGTGCTGTGTGAAAAACAGTAATTTTCAATCAGGATGCCTTGGAAAAATATATATATAGAATTTGATCGTCTGTTGTTTTTCGTGTCTTCTCCTGGCCAGTTAAAAGATGCCCAAATCGTATTTTTAAACATATCTCAATTTTTTCAAATGGAACGGGGGTAACTCCTTGGCATAAAGAGAAAAAGCATTTTTTTACGAAGGGGTGAGGGGTGAGCCATCTTAAAAAAATCTCTTAGATTTTTTAAAAATTGGGTAAAAAATTAGATAATTGAGAACTGTAAAAAGAGTAGGTATGAGTAGCTGCAACAGTTGCAGCATATACATATAAAGTTTTAATACATATAATGTGTTGCCAGATGATAAAAAAAACTTCAAAACTAAACTACTGATTATTATTAACTATTTTGAATTGTTAAGCTATAGATATATACACAGACAATTATATACCAACAATATTTAAATATTAAAATCGCAATCGCAAGTTATAGTCGCTGCGATTTAAAAATCGCAATCGCAGTTTCAATTGCTATATTATAATAAGAACTCTCGAGACTGGGTGCACCGACTGCATGTGTCCTGCATGTGTACGACAATAGACGCAGCAGGTGAACAACGGTTAGTCAAGAACTATCTCAGATGGCTAGCTGGCAGTGAATAAGCTGTGGTGTCAAGTTCCTTAATATTAAGTAATGATCTAATTTGTAAACAAATATCTACTTTTAATTAATACCATGATTTTCTAATAAAGTTGTGTACTTCCCGTTTATATTTTTAGCCGACCATACCAATAGGTATGGTAGGCTATTAAGATCGGCAAAAAAAGTTTTTTTAATTTCACTCAGAATGAGTTATTTCGATCATAAATGACCTAAATACAAAATATTTTTATGGTGTCTGTCTGTCTATCTGTCCATCTGTAACACGATAACTCAAAAACCGCTGAACCGATTTTAACCAAATTTGGCACAAAAATACTGTGGCACCCGAGAATCTGACCATTAGTATTTGGTTAGGTTGGGGGGTTGGTTAGGGGGTATGGGAGGGGGTTAAAATTTTCCAGTCATTTTTTTTTTTAGCTAGCGAAACGCGGTTTTCAAATTAAGATTAGGAATAATATTTGCAACAAAAGATGTAATAACATCAAAATCAGTCAAAGTCGCAGTTTTTGAGATATTAACATATTTTAGTATGGGCGGCTATACGTGCCTCCCGGCGCCAATTTTTTTTATTTATTTCTAGTTTTATTATTATTTGTACTTATTAAAGTCTCTTACCCTAGCACAGAACCACATATCTGATTGCAGACTGAACATTTCGATAGTACTGGAATATTTCCTTCCATCCATTGGTGGGGCATGAGGATGTTCTGAAACAAAAAAAAACATTTATCCGGTACAATAAAACATTAGAAATTTAAATTATCTCTAAGTTTATTAGGTGTCAATAAACAATTGTGTGAAAAAAATGAATCGTGCATGTCGAATATAAATATTTAGGAAGTATTATATCTGAAGAAGGAAACTCCAAGAAAGATATACATAGCAGAGTTCAACAAGGTAAGAAAGTTATCGGTCTTTTAAACCCTCTCCTGTGTGGTCAAATAAAACATCCATCCAAACAAAGCTAAGGATTTACAAAGCAATCGTAGAACCAATTTTAACATACGGTGCCGAATGCTGGCAATTTAATCCAGTAATATTACTATTTAAACCCGACAAAATTCATTCAGAAAGTTTTGAAAATTGGTAGATATGTTGGGGATAGCATGAGGATTACTAAACCGAAAAGTTCCCACCCATAAATAGTGTGCGTCATCCCCCAGGACATCGTTTCTACCCCAATTTGAGTTCTATACAGTTTTTTTCACAATATTATGAAGTGATTATGAAATTTTAAATATATTAATTTCCTGCTATGCGTTCCAGTTGTACCAACTTATATTTCTTTGTAAAATAAACTACTTGGAAATTAAAATGACAGACACATCTATCACTGTCAAGGATCTTGTCGTTGGACAGACTATATTGTCTTTAATCATTGCCTGGAAACTTATATGGTGAAATTTTGATAAAATAATTTAGTACATACTAAAAACACGGTATGTCGCTAGTGGTAGGAAAAATAATTTTTAGAGGTTACTAGTTTATTTGGTTGTCTGTGATATGCATATACAGGGTGTTTTTTAATTAATCTAAAAAATAAAAATTGTTAGAAAACGGATTAAAGGCGGGCTCTTAATAAGTATATTTATTTTTTTCTCGACAGACTGTTTGATGAACAAGAAAAACTCAAAAGATCAATTTTGTTGAAAAAGGATGGCCAGTGAAGAAAAAAATATATTTTCTTTAAAAAAGCAGTGGTGTACCATTTATGTTAAGCAAAAAAATCGATTTTTTAAAATTTTTAACAACATTGTAGATCAGAAAGGAAGTACTTTAGACCTAATGGTTATATGAAAATTGTTTTAAGAACACATGAGGAATCACGACACAATTTTTAGACTAATTTGAAAACACCCTGTATATTGTCAACTTAACAATGATTGCTGATAAATCAAAAAATATCTTTTCAGTGAAAAAAACCTGATTTTCAAAGGAAAAATTTTGATTTTTATTGAATTTGGGTCTGCATCTGCAAATACCAGTTTGTTTTTTAATTTCCTATCTATCTAAATTTTAAATATCATAGTCAGAAATAGTTTTATTATTTATTAACTGTAAAAATGGTGTTTTCTTGTTGTGCTACATCTTGCAAAGAAACTAACAAAACTGCAAAAATGCACGTGTTTCCAAAAGACCATAAGGTATGTATTTTAGATAAAAGAAAAATATGTATATGGTATGTATTCGTTGTTTGATTTAAGTGTTATGAAATATTGTGATTTACTTTCTACCTTGTAGTCAAAATTTATTTTTAATAAACTGTAAAATGTATTTATATACTTATGTTTTATTAAAGTTACTCTGATATACTAATATATCAGTGTAACTTTAAAAATAAATCCTTTGAATTCAAATATAAACATAAAAAACATTTACAGCAGAAAAGGCGAGGGCGCTGTGAAACGTAGTCCCTACTAAGAACACGGAGGGGCGCTGTGACCCAAAATTTTACTATTAAGTTTCATATCTATCTTAATAGAAGATTATTTTCTTTTTTCTATGGTCTTTAATGTTCTCCACATCCTTGCACTATTGTCTTTACAGTTATCATTTTATATTATATGTTTTTGATAGGATTCGTTTTATTTATATTATAAAGAAAGAACTCTATTTTTGTGTCCTCTTATTGACTTTAGAATTTATTTTGTATTTCGAATGGCGATAGAACAATTATACACCCCCACATCACGTATCAGTCCCTGTGGGAAAGACGAACGGAAAAACGACAGGCAATAAAATCATCTGATTCTTTGGGGAATTCAAGAAAAACTTCATACTTCAATCCCGTGATTTTTGCCACCTACAGTTTTATTAAACCGGTTGGAGTTTGTGACGAAGAAAAGTCTCATGGGAATAAACAACTTGACGAAATCTACACTCACCGACACAAAAACGGGCATTTTAAAATTTGGATGTATTTTTAAGTTTAATATATTTTGTTCTTCTATGCCGATTTTGATGACTAAACAATTTGTAGCTAAATTAACCTAACCTAACTCCTGGACAAAATTATCGCACCACTAGGCTTTTAGAGATTTATCTTTTTAGAGAAATAAAAAATAGAATACTTAACATTGTTAACTGTGCATTATTTATTAGCAAAAAAGTTTCATATTCTATTCAACAAAACGAGATTTGACTAACTAAATGCAGCAAAATAAAACACTAAATCACCACAATACACCAAAACACTTTTACTTTTACACTGGACGCGCGTTTTGCTAACCATGTTAGCATCATCAACAGATGATTATGAACTAAAGTACAATCTACAAGTTGAGCGTTTATATACTCGCTCAGTAGGCACCGAGTGGGCGTGGCAAAATCTAGCCAACCGAGTCAGAGCCCATTGAGCGTAACAGTTAAATTTCCGCTACTAGAGTAGTAGGAACAAAGAACAAATAAAATTAAAGATATAACATGGCATGAAGGTGAAATTTTGGTCTCCATTGATGTATCTTCGTTTTTCCCAACTGTTCCAATTCCACATACTTTAGGCTACTTGAAGGAATTACTGAACGCAAATGGTCTCGACAACAAAACTGTGATTGAATATATTGAGCTTACATCGTTATGTATGAAACAAAATTGTTTTCAATTTAATAACAACTTTTTTGAACAGCGGGAAGGTACAGCAATGGGTAATCCATTGTCTCCATTTTTGGCTAATTTATTCATGAGCAGGTTTGAAGTGGAGGCAACTCCAACTGAAGTGGAGGAAGAATAAGTTTGAGTATTTTCCAAGAGTATGGTTTAGGTATGTGGATGATATTTTTGCTGTTTTTGACACACATTCAGACACCATAGATAATTTTATTTCTAAGTTAAATAATCGTTTTCCTTCCATTAAATTTACGCATGAAATTGAGAACAACGACAGATTACCATTTCTAGATGTATTAGTTATTAGAAATACTAATAATTGCCTGGAATTTGATATCTATTGGAAAAATACAACGCAGATATATTCCTAACAACAACGCAATACCACGCAGATATATTCTTAATGAATCACATCATAGTGTTGAACATAAAATGGCTAGTTTAAATTTCTTAGTTCATAGATTACTTAGTTTCCCACTTTCCAACGAAAGATATGAAATAAAAGAGATTACATTAGAAATGTAGCTGAGTGTAATGGATATTTTCCTCCCCTAGTTGATAAATTAATTAGAAAACGTAGGTATAGGTTAATGATTTCTGAAAATTCGACTTTTCAAGTGGAGAAAGATACGTCTAAATATTTTTCAATACCGTTTGATAGAGAGCTATCCCGTGGTCTAAAAGGAATTTTTAAGAATGTCAATCATAAACTTGTTTATAGTGCTAATAATAAATTACAACAATTATTAGGTAATCCAAAGGATAAAACACCTCCACTGGAAAGATCGGGTATTTATGAAATTTCTTGTAAAGATTGTAATCAGAAATATGTTGGGCAAACTAGAAGATCAATATTAACTAGATTTAAAGAACATTTAGCTCAGATAAGATATGGTAGACCGGATAAATCTTACGTTGCCGAACATATTGTTGATAAAGAACATAGTAAGATCTTAATAATTTAAAATTAATTAAACAAGTCTCAAATTACAGGCAATTAGATGCATATGAAAGCATCAGAATTAATAAATGTAAAGATAGTATGAACAGAGACAACGGTCCAATTCCTTCAAGTTCTTTGTTCCTACTACTCTAGTAGCGGAAATCTAAATGTTACGCCATATTCAATAGAGAGAATGGTTTATGTTTCACAACCGTCATTTTTTAATATCACCTTAAACAGTACGAAGTACTACTGAAACAATTTGCCTTAGGTACACGTAGGGAAAAATGCAAAATAAGAAATTTCAATAATTCAGAAAAAAATGACCTTAAACACCAAAATAAAGTGTAAACATTATTGTTTTTGTCCAGTCCCGCTTTTCGCACGAGCAAAGATAAATAACTGTTTTAATTGATATTTTTTTTTAAATTTTTTTAAAGAAATAAGCACTGGCGCGATAATTTTGTCGAGGAGTGTATTTGACTTTTTAGTATCTCTTTCTAAATCAAACATGAATGTTCCCATCTGTCAAATATACGAGGGAAAACAAAATGGTTTACTTGATTTTTACGTAATAGTAGCCGTATATAGCCCAAATGACGACGCGGACGCAGCAAAAAATCCATGATTTTATGACAACCTGGCCAACTCGCTGGGAAGTATTGGACAACGGAAGGAGATAATTTTATTAGGTGACGGCATTTTAATGACAGAACTGGTTGCCAAGATGACAATCCTGTAATTGGACAATACGGAGAAAATATCGTGAACGATAATGGACAAAGACTGAACTATGTCATCAGTTTCAGCTAAGAATTACAAACGGTTACTTTAAACACAAAGACATCCATAAGTATACCTGGATACACCCCTCTCAAAACCAAAAGTCCACAATAGACTACGTTATTGTAAAACAAAAATCAAAATTAAAACTCATCTGACACTAGGGTCAAGAGAGGAGTAGAATGTGGCTCTGACCACTGCCTTCTTTTATCAAAAGTCTACTTGACTTACAGACCTAGCAGTACCGCAAAAGACACCATGCAAGAAAAACATCAAGCAAAACAGCCCGCAAAATATAATATTGAAAGTTTAGCGAACGACTCAACGAGATTTCTTTATCAAATGCGTCTTTCAGCTAAACTAGCACGCATCCAA